ACATTTCAGTCTGAAGTACGTGAAGTCTTTTTTCTCTATTGAATAAAACCAAGATTTTTCTTGTTTAGGTTTTTAAAAGCAAACATTCGATATTATTTATCAATTACATATGCTAGCAATTTATTACCTTTTGTGCTTTATATGAAGTACGAGTTGATGAAAAAGTAAAATTTATTATCGATACTTCAGAATCTGCGAATCATAGTACTAATAAGTCAATCGTACGATTGATTGCTATACGGATCACTGTCGAGGTTCGAATTCGTCGGAAAAAGAAATTGCATTATTATTATAAATTCATAATAGAAACTATAATCCAATAGAGTTATTCAAAAAATTTTAAGTGATTATTTGTTGTATATAATGTAGGCAGAAAGAAAGATACATGAGTCATCATTTATAGTTCGTATTTCACCAAACATTAAGAAACGTAATAAAAGAGGTGTGGGTGTGGGTAGAGAGAACAACTGAACCTAAACCAACACCCACACCCATACCCCACACCCACCCACATCCCACACCCACCCACACACCCACACCCACCCCACACCCACTCAAAGCCTCCCCAATTTTGTTTTAGGGGAGGCTTGAGCCTCCCCAGGCCTAAGGGCTCCGCCGCCTATGAACACGATACCATAGATATTCCAATCTCACTGAAATAATCTATCAAGTGGCACCAGATACCAGTATAGAAGATACAAAATCATTAAAATTATGAACGCAATACACAATATCATTTTCTACTTTCAAAAATGACGTAGAAACACTGTTTAACGACTGTGCATAGCTATCACGAGAGTTTCAGTTATGTATCAAGAAATACTACGACTATAGTCTCGATCTTTCTCAATGGTCAATCCTCTGGTATTACCTACTATAGTACGGTGAATTTGAATGATGTGGAGAATATAGGGCGTGGAGTATGGGTTTGTGTGTGAATCTGAGTGGGTGTGTGAGTGCAGCTAAGCTTAACTTTTCACCAGACACGCTAATACCTTGGGCATGGGTATGGGTGTGGGTGCGGGTATGGGTGTGAATGTGGGTGGGTGTGGGTGTAGGTATGGATGTGGTGTAGGTGTGGGTGTGGGTGTTGGTTGGGTGTGGGTGTGGGTTGGGTGTGAGTGTGTGGGTGCCAGTGTGGATGTTAATGTAGCGAATTTTCAGACACACCCACACTCACCCAAACCCACACACCATCCACACCCACTCCCACACCCATCCAAACTCACACCCCACACACCCACACCCACATCCACCCCAAGAAAACGAGCTTCTATGATTTTATTTTAAAGTGCTTTGATTAATTTTCGTAGCGATTGGTTCTTGCTAGTTCAACTTTGCCACATGCACTGATGTTAGGAAATTTTGGCTCTTTAAGCATTAAGAGTACAGCCATATTTCTAGAGAAGATCGGTGTAGAAATTTTACGAGCAATTTTATTGTGTAACATCTGTTTTCTTAGATAAGGATGGTTTTACAGAACTAAATGATCATAAAGTATGTATGAAAATACCAGGCATATAAAGGTTGAGGAAACCAGTAGAATGGATATTTTACGAAGTAAAGAGCAGAACATGTATATCAAATAAGGTGTATGAGGAAAACCAGCATTGTTTCTAGTCTTAGTGAGAGTTGAATCGATCGAATGGGGGTTTTAAAAAAGTAGCTCGAATAGAATCGATTAAATATTTCGGAAGAGGAGGTCGAATCGAATCGAATAAGCTCAGAAATTCTATCGCATCAAATTGAATCAAATTGATTGAAGTCCGTCTCATTCGTTTCGCGCTCTGGTGTGGATGCCTGTTAGTAAAGATAAAGAATACATTCATACCAACAGCCACACCCTGTTATATATATATGTTCAAGTCATGTTGGATGGTGACACATTTCGATGAATTGTTGTTTTTGTGATATTGAAATGGAAATTGTGTTTTTCTTCCACTTCATGATCGATATCACATTACATGTTAAAAGATAACGTCTTTAATTGTCTTTTTTAATCGAATATAGCTATCTTTAAAGGATCTTTTACTTCTTTGTTATAGATACAATGTAATAGATACTTAGCATTAAGTGGGGAAAAACCCAAACATACCAATTTCGGAAGCAAAAAACAGAAAAGAAAAAGAAGCACTGTATATAAGAACAAGGTTACCATTTAGGTTTTCATTGTTTTTTCATAACAAAGACGGCATATTAATACGCATACGAAGGTAAGGAAACTATTTCATTAAAAGACGGGCGAGAAATTTTAAAATATTCAAAGAAAGTTAAAAAAAAGTTAGACTAGAAGATTAAAATAATGGGCTTGCGATTAATAGAAATGTGGCTGAGAGCTGAGCTATCTAGCTGTTGAAGAAACGATGAGTGTTAATCATTTGAAAAACAAACCTACCTATCTCTTATTGAAGTAGACAAGTTCAAACTGCTAGTCTCAAATTTTACTTTTCAGCAATCGATCGTTTGTTGAAATAAAATTTCAACTGGTGTACATAATGTGCTTTGAATTAAGAATAAGTGCACGGTTTCACTTCGCCAACATGTTTCATGTTTTTTATTGAAATATAAATACTCATTAGGACTCTCCATAAGTTTTAAACGCAAAAAACAAAATTACACAAAAAAGCTGTTAGTGCAATCCCTGTACCGACGTAATTCGGGGAAAGGCAAATGGGCGATTACCAATTTCATTTGGAGATTTTCCCATTGTAATTTTTATTAGTAAGTTTTTGTCCATTGAAATTTTACTTTTTTAGAATTGTTTACTTATTGTTGAATTAGATAGTAACTTTATTTTTTTCTTTCGTCTGAATCACACCTGCACTCTTTGCTTGTTCTCTCTGAGAAGAATAAAGACAAAAAGAAAAGAATCGCTCATTGTATTATGACTGTAAGTTTAGGTGAACTTGAGTTCGACTTTATAGAAAAAAACACTAACCACGTAAAGGTAGAGAAGGATAGATCAAAGAGAAGAGAAACAAGAACACATATGTGTATATAGGCTAATTGTAAGTTTATTGTACCGTTGTATTCTTGAACGTAAAATTTGAATATCTCGAGTACTGCTCAACCAATCATTGTGATTTTTTTACCATATGTTCTACTAAAAACTCCTCACTACCACACAAAAAATCACGAGGTTATCTTCAATAAGTCCTGAGATATTGGCTGCACAAAGCTCAAAAGTTCGATATCTGCTGCCATCTATTGGAGGAAAAGTCGTATGGCCAATTCGTTACTTGTCATTTGAGTTTTGACAGTTGGTGATATTTACAGTATAGAGTCTATACTTCTCGGATATAAAACTCATTCGTTCTTTCGACGTGTTTTTTGCTATAGTTTTCTAACAATACCATGCGTACAGACAACTGTCAATTTTCTATCACGCGAGATTAAATTTCATTTTGGAACACAATGACCCGTCTAAAATTGATCGGGCTGGTGTTAAATAAAAGGCAGTTGGTACTATATAAAACCACTAAATACGATGGGAGAATTGTCCTATTTGTTGTTGAAAAATAAAATGAAATGAAATTTAAAACTTCAGTTGTCACACAAAATGTCACGCGAGATTTGTTGATTTGTTGGGAACATAACTCTCTTATACTAACAAGGGAACCTTCCCAGGTGTCGGAGCGCTTTTCAGTCGGGGTTTCGCGCATCTTGTAGCCCATAGTGAGCTATGTCTATAGTAAAAAAAGTTCGGGTTTCTGGCTTGTTTCTGAGGAGATATCGAGCTCTTAGTGAATTTTCTCTATTGTACGCCTACATTGGCAGCAAAGCTATACTTTCGAATTTTGACCTGAAACTTTGCCTGCATAAAGGCCTCAGCTAGACTAGTTTGCATAAAAAATTTCAGAAGTTTT